TGTTATCTCAACAATACAGCAGCATCTTTTTCTGAAGAAGGGTCCCGACCCGAAACATCAGATTTCCTGCTCCTCTGATGCTGCCTGGCCTGCTGTGTTCCTCCAGCTCCACACTGTGTTATCTCTGACTCCAGCATCGGCAGTTCTTACTATCTCTGAGGAAGTTATGATAAAGCTATGTAAAACACACATTCAGCATCACCTGAAGTATTTTCAGAAAGGACATACTAGCGTTAGACAGGATGCAGAAAAGATCCATGAGAATGGTTTTGGAGTGAGAAACTTTGATCAAATAGGTAGCTATTGGAGGAGCTGTGGCTGCTTTCTTATGGTTTTTAAAATCATGTGGGGTCTAGCCAGAGTAGGTGTTTTGCTGGCAGGACTTCAAGAAAGAGGACTGTACTTTGATTGGCAAAGGAAATAATTAGGGAAATGGGATAAACACTTTAAGCACCAGGCGGTTAGAATCTAGGATGTATGGTAGAAGCAGATTCCCCTGGCTTTCAAAAAAATAATTGAATTGTTACATGAAAGAAAAAGAATTGCATGAGGTTAATTGTTTTAGCTGGGAGCTGGCAGGGCTTAGCAGGCCGAATGGCCTGCTTCTGTGCAGTGCCAGTCTGATTCTTTCAAGAGTGCCAATCACCCTGTTTAAATATCATAGATGAGGCAAATAGGCAGTTTCCAAAAAGAATTTAAAAACTCAATTATGAAGGCATTCGTAAGTTATTTGCTAGGACAAATCTAATTTGTGTTTTCAATACATTAGACAAAGAAAGCTTCATTGCACAATTGATGAATGCTGTCGAGACACTTTATTGTGGAAACTCAATGGGAACGAAGAAACAGTAAGAGAGGGTTCGGTCGGTGATGTTTCTGAGTTGCACTGGCGGCTGATACTGTGTGCACGTTTGGAACGGCGGTGAGTATTCTGGTGGTTACAATGTAGCAATGTTTGTGCTTGTTGTGAATGGGCGCCTGGAGTATCGACTTTCCGAACGTCCCTGTAACAATTGTTGGAACTTTTATTTCCTTACATTGCGGCACTTCACAGCGTGCTGACCGGTTTGGCAGACCCTCACGGTGGGAGCAGGGGGGTGGGAATGAACGGGGCGGTGGGTAGCAGGGGGAACCGCGTGGCTGTGGAAAGCATGTGGGGAAAAAGGCGCAGAGGGGGAGAGAAATAGAAAGGGAAAGGTGGAAGGTATAATATACGCGGGCACAGTAGATACAGTGGGGTGAGGAAATGGCCAAAGTTATGGAAAGACCTACTGTAGAGGGGAAGTGAGGGACAGAAGAGGGATGGAGGAGTAATGGAGAACGACATTTTGGAGTTTTAGGGGAATTAATTGGATAGAAGTGGAGGGAGAACCTGTCGGTAGAAAAGACAGCCAATGCCTGGTTATCTTTGATTCCCTGAGATCTGTCTGCACATTGACAATTCCTGAAACCCCCCTCTTGGGTATAGTATAGCCCGATCATGATTCTCCATGACTGAATCTCAGTGGAGAGGATTGCAGGAGGAAGAAACCCCTTTTCATTGGCTGCAACTGTCTGTGACGTCTGTCTAGAGAGGATTTGAGTGGCAGACCAAGCATTGATGATAAAAATATATCTAGTATATTAACATTTGTTAAAATAGGTACTTTAACAGTTGTTTAAAACCTTGCTGGAGACACGCAGCATGGTGGCACTGTGGTTAGCACTGCTGCCTAATAGTACCAGGAACCTTGATTGCATTCCAGCCTTGGGTGGCTGCCTGAGTAGAGTTTGCACTTTCTGCCTGTGTCGGCATGGGTTTCCTCTGGATGCTCCAATTTCCTCCCACAGTCCAAAGATGAACAGGCTAGGTGGATTGACCATGGTAAATTGCTCTGTAGTGTCCATAGATGTGCAGGCTAGGTGGATTAGTCATGGAAAACGCAGGGTTGTAGGGACAGGGTGGACGTCTGAGTCTGTGTGGGATGTTCTTCAGCAGGTCAGTGCAGACTCAATGGGCCACATGGCCTCTTTCTGTACTGTAGGTATTCTATATACATGGCTTTTAAGATCTGAAATGATTCATTATAAATTAGCAGTGATACCTTCCAACAGAATTGTGTTTGGCATTTATCTTACTCGAAACTTCAGAGAATTTAGTAACTGGCTGAGCTGCTCAGTAATTGTTTACCCATGTAAAACCCTTAACTTCTGAATATTTTAATTTGAAGCAACCATCCTGTCTGAAATTACTTCAAAGGAATCTTTGGTGCTATGGCAGAAGCAAACTTTTGTGCACCAAAAAGAAAGAGAAGAGTGTATGAATCTTACGAAGCTCCTTATCCTGTGCCGTTAACACAAGAAGAATCAAATGCACATGAACAAGAACATTATTACGCAGAAATTATGAATAACAATGTAATTGTGAGGAACCCAGACAATATGCAAGCCCTGTATGGAAAGGTATTTTAGGATCATTGCTTTTTCTCATTTATTTTAATGACTTGAACTTGGCGTTACAGGGCACAATTTCAAAGTTGGCATATGACACGCAACTTGTATAGTAAACAATGAAGAAGATAGATAGCCAGGAGAGGACATAGACTGCAGGTGGAATGTGAAAACATGTCAGATGTAGGTAGGTGGTTCATTTTGATAGGAAGAATCAGGTAAGATAATACAAGCCAAGCTGTACAGTTTTAAAGGCTGATGCAAGAAAATAAAATATTGAAGGATTTCACAAAGAGTTCATTGAATATGCCAGGACAGACTAACAATTCAGTTAATAAAGCATATGAGATCCCAGACTTTGTAAATTGATGCATTGAGTACAAAAGTTAGGAACCTTTATAGGTTCCAACTGCAGGATTGTGTTTAATTCTGGGCACTATACATTAGGAAGAATGCAAAGATTTGAGAGGATGGCCAACTTAATGTTTTTCTTTTGTTATTCATTGATAGGATGTTTGAGTCCTCATTACCAATCCATAATGCCTTTGAGAAAGTGCAGATGAGTCACTGTCTTCAACTGGTGCAGTCCCTTCCATTACTTAGCTGATGACTGAGAGTAGACTTTGGGGGTAATTGGCCAGGTTGGAGCTGTCCTGCTTTGTGTGGACAGGGAATATCTGGGAAATTTTCCACATTGTCAGGTTTATTCCAGTATTGTAGCTGTATTGGAACAGCTTGACTAGGGATGCAGCTAATTCTGGAGCTCAAGGCTTCAGTACTATTGTTGGAACGTTGTCAGGACCTATAGCTTTTACAGAGTCCAGTACCTTCATCTGTTTCTTGATATCATATGGCGTGAATCAGACTGACTGTGACACAGTCAAGAGGATGCCGAGACGGATCATCCACTCAGCACTTCTGGCTGAACACAGTTTCAAATGCAAACAAAAACAGAAGTTGCTGGAAAATGTCAGCAGGTTTGGCAACATCTGTGGAGAGAAATCAATTAATGTTTTGTGTCCAGTGACCCTTCTTCAGAGCAGTTTCAATTGCTTCAGCCTTATCTTTTGTACCTGTGTGTTGGCCTCTACCCTTTTTAAAGATGAGGATATTTGTGGAGCCTTCTCCTCCAGTGAGTCGTTTCATTGTCCACCACCATTCACAACTGGATGTGACAGGACTGCAGAACTTAGATCTGATCCATTGGTTCTGGGATCACTTTGATTATTGTATGCTGCTTCTGCCGTTTTGCATCAAGTAGTCCTGTGTTGTAACTTCATCGTATGTATGCCTGGTGCTGCTTCTGGCAGGTGCTACTGCACTTTTCATTGAACTAGGTTTGATCTCCAGGCTTGATGTTAATAGCCAGGATATGCCAGGCCATGAGGTTACAGATTGTGGTTAAATAAAATGCTGCTACTGATGGCCCACAGTGCCTCACAGATGCCTAGTTTTGTTCTGTGAGATCTGGCTATCACCTATCACACTTAACACAATTGCCACACAAGATAATGGAGTAAAAATGAAACTTTACCTCCACAAAGTCTGTGCAGTGGTCACTTTTATTGATAGTGGCAACGGCAGATGCATCTGCAACAGATAGATTGACACCAGATGATTCATTTGGTTTCATTCCTTTCTTTAGATTTTTTAATGGTTTGAGGGTGGCTTTCTAGACCATTTCAGAGAGCAATTAAGAAGCAACCACATTGCTGTGGGTCTAGAATCACATGTAGCTAGACCAGTTAAGGATTGCAGATTTCCTTCTCTAAGGGTATTAGTGAACTTGAATAAAAACCGAAAGAACTGTGGATGCTGTAAATCAGGAACAAAAACAAAGTTTCTGGAAAAGCTCAGCAGGTCTGGCAGCATCTGTGAAGGAAAAAAACAGAGTTAATGTTTCGGGTCCGGTGACCGTTCCTCAGAACAGGAAGGATCTGAGGAAGGATCACTGGACCTGAAACGTTAACTCTGTTTGTCCTTCACAGATGCTGCCAGACCTGCTGAGCTTTTCCAGCAACTTTGTTTTTGTATTAGTGAACCTGATTGGCTTTTACAGCAATCATTAAGGGTTTTGTGATTATCATTAGACAAACTTTTTATTTCCAGTTTATTTTCTTGAATTTAACTTTCACCAGCTGCAGTGGTTGGATTTGACTCTGTGTTTCTGGAGCAGTAGCCTGGGTCGCTGGGTTACTAGTCCAGGGGCTACACCACTGTCTCCCCTTTTTTGTTGTTTACTCGTGGGATGTGAGTGTGATGGGTGACCAGCATTTATTGCCCATCCCCAGTTGCCCTTGAGAAGGTGGTGGTGATGCTGCCTTCTTGAACCACTGCAGGCCATGTGCTGTAGCTAGACCCACAATGCCCTTAGGGGGGAATTCCAGAATTTTGACCCAGGGACAGGAAGGAATGGTGATATATTTCCAAGTCAGGATGATGAGTGGCTTGGAGAGGGACTTGCAGGTGGTGGTGTTCCATTACTAGAATGGTTCCAGAGATGTGGAATAATAGTTAATAGAGGCTAGATTTTCTCGTTAGAACTGTGAAGGTTGAGAGAGGAATAGGTATGTTTATTATCATAAAGAGTTCAGACAGAGTATGAGGAGAAACTGTTTCCAATGGCTTATGAGTTGGAAAGCAGAGAGTACAGATTTAAATTCATTTGCAAATATCTGGCAGCAACATGATGGAAAATCTTTTTAGGCACAGTGAGTAGGATTTGTAGTGCACTGTCTGATAGGACAGTCGATGCAGTCAATACAGATTCAATCACAGCTTTCAAAAGGAAATTGAATTAATACTTGAAGGAGAACAAGAATTGCAAGGATACAAGTAAAGAGAAGAGGGGTTGGACTAACTGGATACAAACTGGCCTGTCTCGTTTTACTATATTATAACAGCATGGTCTTTGTTTAACTGTCGAAATCAAAAGTTTGGTAATGTTGAAAATCTCGTTAAATTTCTTCTGTTTAAAGGGTTATTTTGGAAAAGGGGTGTTGTCGAGAAGCCGACCAGATTACAATATTTCAGACCCCGCTTTAGCTGCCAAATGGAAAGGTAAGGATCTTCTTTAACCACTTATTGGCCTTTTGTTTCATCTGTCATTTATAAATGATTATTTGCAAATTGTCCTTTACTGAACACCCACAGTGAATAGTAACCACTTGAATTCAATTTGGCATCAGGTTAGTTGCACTCAGTACCAGTAAGAGATCTGTTTTATCAAAAAAAAATGTTTCATTTGTTCCTTCCACTTCTGCCTACCCCATTTCAATGGTGTCTGTGGGACAAGAAGCTGTACTTATTCTAGGTTAGTTCTTTGAGTTAGTGGTTAGGTGGGGCTGATATATAATATAAGTGATGAAGGTTTCAAACACCAGTTGAAGAACTGTTAGGAGACTGGCATTGCTACCGTGAGGGAGGTCTCCCCAAATTAAGTGCTACTAGGCCCTTGTTCAGTCAGCATCAGATCCTCCCCAGAAATGGGACTTAGGAGGTGGAAGTCCCACCTTCCAAAAGCTTCCACGTAATTGGAGTCCATCAGTGCCACCAGGAGCAGTGGCTGCTGCCAGTAATACTCTAAGGACATTTAGAGGGATCATTGTTGGACCTCCACATGTGGGTCCTTCCCCACTTCCCTTGCATCCCACATTTTAAAACATTTCCCCCCCACCCCATCCCCAAACTGGTTTTTTGTTTGGCAACTTTTAAGGGCAGGCTAGTTTCTTGTATGCAGAACTGAAGAAATCAAATCAAATATCACAGGCTTTAAAGTAGGTTAATGCATCTAAAACATCACAAAATGTTTACCTATTTGGCCTTCTCAAGTTTTATTCATGTCTGGCATTATAAGGTTTAGTTCAGTGTCAGTTTACAATTCCCAGATTTCCAATATAAATATTTGGACTTAATCTGTAAAACCTGAATAATAGCTAGTTCAAAATGCCAGTATGCTATCTCAAAGGAAAGTGAGAACCATTGAAACTGTTTGTTTTCGGACAATGAGAACATTCGACATATTTGATTATAGGTTAAACCCAGACTTCAATAATGATTTCCTACTAGCTCAATATAACAACCAGCCAGCAAATTTGTTGTGAACTGCCATACCAAGAAATTGTTTAACTTTTAAGCTTGTAGCTTTGATTAGAGATTCTGGGAAGCTAATTCACAACTTGTGGAAAGGTTAATCCAGAGCCAACTGAGACAACAGGAACAGGAAAGGTAGATAGTACTTGATATCTATTAGTCACAGTGAGTGAGAGACTGCTAACTTGTGATTGGACCATAAGATACAGGAGCAGAATTAGGTCATTTGGCCCATCTGGTCTGTAGCATCTTTAGATCATTCTCCCACATTCTCCCTGTAATCCTTGATTCCTTTACTGCAATTCTCTCCCTACGGGCATCATGGGTCAACCTACAGCAAGCGGACTTCAGTGGCTCAAGAGGCTGCTCACAACTAGCTTTTCAAGGGCAACTAGTATGACAATGCTGTCACTTTAAAAAGGTTATTTTGCCTTTGGTTTTTTTTGAAGCGAGATTGTAAAAGCAGAGGTGCAGAAGAGTCTAGGGAGTAGTTTAACAAAGGAAGGGGTGTGGCCAGTTCTCCCAGTTCAGGTTTTATCTTGTTTTTTTAGCTGTAGCAGTCACAAGATATTTTGAGTACCAGAAATGTTGCAAGCTTCAGTAAAGGATTCCTCTGACCTCTGAAATCTCTCTCTAGATGTTGTTCCCTCCTGCCTGTAAGAATCTGAATTTGAATTTATCTTTTTGCTGAGGGTTGTGTTTATGGGATGTTACTATATTGGAACAGTTAATTAGTTAGGTTCCTGTATCTGGTCAGTTAGGTTTTCCAATAGTTAAATTACTCTAAAATCTGCTTTCTTTTGTTCATGTTTCAACTATAGTGGTTAAATAAATCTTGTTTTGCTTAAAGCCGTGTGGCTTGACCAGTTGCATAACACCTGGAACTCCCACCACATATTTGGACTCGATGTCAAATTTTAGAGAACGATTAAATAGAGTGGGGGAGTTGACTAGACAGCATTTAAAAATACCACAGTATATCTTGAAACAGGAAGCAGACAATAAATCAAAAACTCTCAATTTTGCTAACAGAGATAAAAGTGTTAGTGTTACTTCCAGTGATAGGTGTACCTTTTAAAAGTAAGGTTTAGTGGACCTTATCAAATCGAAAGGAGATTGAGTGAGGTGAATTATTTGATAAGGACTCCAGATAGAAAGAAATCTCACAGAATGTGTCATGTGAATATGCTCAAAAGGTAGTTTGATAGGGAAGGAAAGCAGAAGGACAATGTGTTATTGGTTACAACACAGTAAAGAACCAAATTCAGATGATTCTGAATTGGAAATACCTCAAATTAAATTGGACAATGAGGAAGTTCTGAAAAATTGGGATAAATTATTGAGTTACCTTCCAGAGTAAAATTGAAATGATCCGAAAAAGTTATTACTATCGCATGGGGCATTATGTGGGCATAAGCAGGGAAGTACTAATTTAATTGTGCATGATGTAGGTATAGGAAATGCTGTTGCAGTTAGGTAACCTCCTTACAGAAACCGAAAGAACTGCAGATGTTGTAAATCAGGAACAAAAACAGAAGTTCCTGGAAAAGCTCAGCAGGTCTGGCAGCATCTGTGAAGAAAAATTCAGAGATAACATTTCAGGTCCGGTGACCCTTCCTCAGAACTAATGGTAGCTGGGAAAATGTTGTTTTATATGCAGAAAACATGGTGGGGATGGGGTAGGGCGTAAATGATAGGATACAACCCAAAGAGAGAGAAGAGCAGTTGGATTGACGAAGCACTCAGTATCGAGTTCAATAATTTTAGGGTCTAAACTCTCCCACGTCCTAGCCCCCTACCCCACACACCAGGTCTGGTTACCACATAGCCTGCTATTACACACCATCTATTGTTAGTCAGTAACAGTCCCCATTAACAACTATTCACCCTCCTAACCAGCTCGTTATCAACTCCTTCGTCTATCCAACTGCTCTTCTCTCTCTTCAGGCTCTATCGTATCGTTTACTCCCTACCCTATCCCCCTCCCTGTTTTCTGCATATAAACTGACGTATTTCCCAGCAACCATCACCGGATGGATCCGAAACGTTAACTTTGATTGTTTTTCTTCACAGATGCTGCCAGATCTGCTGACCTTTTCCAGCAACTTCTGTTTTTGTTAACATCCTTGTAGATTTAACCTGCTAAAGTTGACATAGGTTCAAAAAAAGATTGATCGCATGTTCCAAGACAACATAATCCAAGTGAGTTGCAGAGACTGGAGCTCACCCATAATAATAGAGCCAAAACCAGATGGTAACCAACAATTATATGTAGACTATTGCAAAGTCAATGCAGTCACAGAGTCTGATTCATGTCCAATTCCATGTTTGGAAGACCGTGTTGAGAAGGTGGGACAAGCAACTTAGAAATATAAGTTGGACTTACTCCGAGGATACTGGCAGGTACCTTTATCCGAAAGAGTGAAGACAGTTTCAGCTTTCGTGACACCGAATGAGCTGTATCAATTTAAAGTCATGCCATTTGGTATGAAAAATGTGCTCGCCACATTTCAAAGACTAACCAATAAAGTCATTTCTGGATTACCCAGTTGTTCGGTGGCAGGGGTAAACAGACTGAAATAGAATGTAGTAGTGAATGACTCTAAGCATGCAAACAATGTAGTGTATATAGTGTACTAATAGATAAAGCTAAGGCATTTAAATTGAAACCATCTATGTATATTGATGGTTCATTTTTTTAAGTGGGGAGGTGTGACAATGCTGTCACTTTAAAAAGATTATTTTGTCCTGGGTTTTTTTTGAAGAGAGGTTGTAAACGCAGAGGTGCAAAAGAGTCTAAGGAGTAACAGTTTAACAACGGAAGGGGAGTGGCCTGTTCTCCCAGTTAAGGCTCCTTCTACTTTTTTTTTAAGCTGTAGCAGTCACAAGATGTTTTGAGTACCGGAAGTGTTGCAAGCTTCGGTAAAGGATTCTTCTGACTTTCTCTGAAATATCTCTCTGGATGTTATTCCCTCCTGCCTGTAAGAATCTGTGTTTGAATTTACCTATTTCCTAAGGGGTGTGTTTATTGGAGCAGTTAATTAGTTAAGTTGCTATATCGGGTAGGTTAGGTTTTCCAATTGTTAAGTTCCTCTAAATTCCACTCTCTTTTGTTCATGTTTCAACTGTATTGTTTAAATACATGACAACAAGGTGCAGGGCTGGATGAACACAGCAGGCCAAGCAGCATCATAGGAGCAAAAAGGCTGACGTTTCGGGCCTAGACCCTTCATCAGAAAAGGGGGAGGGGAAGGGGGTTCTGAAATAAATAGGGAGAGAGTGGGAGGCGGATAGAAGATGGATAGGTGGAGAGGAAACAAACAGGTCGAAGAGGCGGGGATGGAGCCAGTAAAGGTGAGTGTAGGTGGGGATTTAGGGAGGGGATAGGTCAGTCCAGGGAGGACGGACAGGTCAAGGGGGCGGGATGAGGTTAGTCGGTAGGAGATGGGGGTGCGGCTTGAGGTGGGAGGAGGGGATAGGTGGGAGGAAGAACAGGTTAGGGAGGCAGGGACGAGCTGGACTGGTCTCTCCCTATTTATTTCAGAACCCCCTTCCCCTCCCCCTTTTCTGATGAAGGGTCTAGGCCCGAAACGTCAGCCTTTCTGCTCCTATGATGCTGCTTGGCCTGCTGTGTTCATCCAGCTCTGCACCTTGTTGTCTCGGATTCTCCAGCATCTGCAGTTTCTACTATCTCTCATTCAATTGTTTAAATACATTTTGTTTTGCTTAAAGCCAAGTAGTCCGACCAGTTGCATCAGACCTGGCACATTCACTTCACATCTGCCTTTACAATAAGAAAAAGTTAGGGTGTGGGCTACCTTCTTAAAATATTTTGAGGGAGTCTGGCCAGATCCATAACACTAGGGGTGGGCAATAAATGCTGGCCAGCCAGCGATGTCCACAAGTGAATTATAAAAAGAGCAAGAGCCTATCTACCTCTGTCTTAAATACACTCAATGACCTAGCCTCTACAGTCTTCTGTGGCAATGAGTTCCATAGATTAACCACCCTCAGGCTGAAGAAATTCCTCCTCATCTCAGTTCTAAAGGGTCATCCCTTCACCCTCAGGCTGTGCCCTTGGGTCCTAGTCTCTTCAGCTAGTAGGAACTTTTCCACATCCACTCTATCCAGGCCTCTCAGTGTTCTGTAAGTTTCAATGAGTTTCATCCTTCTAATTTTCATCGAGGAGAGACCCAAAGTCCTCAACCACTCCTAATGTGAACTAGCCCTTTATCTCCAGGTTCATTCTTGTAAACCTCCTCTGAACCCCCTGCAGGGCCAACACATCCATCCTTAAAAATGGGGCCTAGAACTGTTCACAATATTTCAAATGCGGTTTGACCAGGACCTTATACAGCCTTAGCAGTACATCCCTGATTTGGTATACTTGCCCTGTTTGAAATAAATGCTAACACTTCATTTGCCTTCCGAACTACCAATTGAACCTGCATGTTCACGTTAAGAGAATCCTAACCTCGGACTCCTAAGTCCCTTTGATGCTTCAGATTTCTGAAGCCTTTCCCCATTTAGAAAATAGTCTACGCCACTTTTCTTCCTTCCAAAGTGCATAACCTCACACTTTCCCAAATTGAATTCCAAGTACCACTTATTTGCCCACTCTCCGAGCATGTCCAGGTCCTTCTGCAGCCTCCCCACTTCCTCAACACTACCTCTCTGCACCTGTCTTTGTGTCATCTGCAAATTTAGCAACAAATATCCAGATCAGGCTTTCATTTAACTAAATATTGGGTAATAAATGCATTCACAATCTATAGGACACAGTGGACATTTGCCTTAAAGAATGGCTGCTAATGCTAAATTTGAGAGAATATTTCCTGTAAACATATGCATTTGTCAGAGCAGCAGTAATCTTAGTTGGCTATGTATGTCTTACAAAGAGGAAGACAAATTACACTTAAACTTATGTTCTTTAGTACATATTGGAAGCAAAGAAGTTTTGTCAAATAATTTAATAAAATGTATAGTACCATTGGTTATGATTTACACAACTGATGAAATGCATTCATTTTATTCTTTTGGTTGTTTGTAGATGCCAATCTTCTGCATATGCCCATAATTTCATCAACAAAGTAAGTCTGGGCCTGTCATTACAATTTTAGCATGTGATTCAGTATTCTTGTTCCACTTAAAATCTTTATCAGCTACTGCTTTGCTTTTTATTGTTTTGGAAGTCATTTTCATTTGTTGCAATTCAGCTCTACAACGCCCTAAATAAATTTCATTACTGTTGACCAATTTTTTTTTTTAACCTCTTGCCAATCACTTGTATGTTTTGTAAGGAGAATAAAACAGTTTGTGAAAATAGTGGCTGGAGAGAATGTATCATATATGAAAAGTAGAATGTTTAATGTCGTTAAGTTGGCACGGTGTAGGTTAAACAGATTTTGGGAGGGTTGCCCTTTGATATGTGAAATTTTAGTTTATATGCAGGATTTTTATTTTAACTATTTTTTCCCCATTTCGAGTTTCAATGTTATCAAAGTGTATGTCGTGTTTACTTGCATCCGAAGAAGAGTCATGAGACTCAAAATGTTAACTCTGTTTTCACTCCACAGATGCTGCCATACCTGCTGAGTTTCTCCAGCAATTTCTGTCTTTGTTTCAGATCTCCATCTCTAAATTTTTGTTTTATTTTTATATATGGTTTGGAGGCAGTTGTCTGTACGTATGCTCACAACACAGTGTTCTATTGCCCTCATCACTTCTCCCAGAAACACAATTGCCCCACTGTTGGAATGCCTGTCTGACTTAATATCACAGTTGAGCCAATTAAGCTCCTGTTGCTGAATATTGGGATAATGAAAACATTAATCCCCATTGCTTCTTCCCAGTTTACTCACCGAGGCTGCCGTAGGTAGTCTGCAACTCCGTTTTGAAATTCCTATTCTTCCAAATTAATTTTCAATATGCAACTATCTCTACCCTTCAGCACTTTCAAAATAGCCAAACCTGTAATCCCCTTTTTTTCACCTCCGTACCTGATTTCTGTAACAGTTTTCTTATTGATCTCAAAGCTGTACCTTTTATTTTATTCATTCATGGGATGTGGGCACAGCCAGCATTTATTGTCCATCCCTAATTGCCCAGAGGGCAGTTAAGAGACACCCACATTGCTGTGGGTCTGCAGTCACATGTAAGCCAGACCAGGTAGGAATGGCAGATTTCCTTCCCTGAAGGACATTAGTGAACTAGATAACACAGTGTGGAGCTGGAGGAACACAGCAGGCCAGGCAGCATCAGAGGAGCAGGAAAGTTGACGTTTCGGGTCGGGACCCTTATTCAGAACAAGGGTCTTTCTGAAGAAGGGTTGTCAACTTTCTTGTTCCTCTGATGCTGCCTGGCCGCCTGTTTTCCTCCAGCTCCACACTGTGTTATCTCTTACTCCATCATCGGCAGTTCTTTCTAGCTCTTAGTAAACTAGATAGTTAATTTTCCCCTGACAATCAGCAATGGTTTCATAGTCGTCATTAGACTCTTATTCCCAGATTATTATTGAATTCAAATTCCACTGTCTGCCATGGCGGGATTTGAACCCAGATCCCCAAAATATTACCCGTGTCTCGGGAGTAAAAGTCTATCTATTAACTATCACTAGATTGATAGTCCAGTGATAATATCATTAGGCCATTGACCGATATAGTGATTGGAATCAGGTTGACCTCGTTGACTTTGTAGTCAATGATTGGTGCTGTTAACCTGGGCCAATCAGGAAAGCCCTGGCTGACCAATATAATCAGGAGATTTAGAATTCCTCAGTTCAGGGGCCAATGTACTATACACATGTAAATAAAGAGTGACTCAGATACTGGCCTGCATGCTGTTATTTCACTTGTTCTGCGTAAACTCCAACTTGTTTGTATCCTGTCTGGAGTATATTCCACTCACTAATTACTCTATTCAGTGACAAACTGCAGGTTCTCTACTAGGCAGCACCTCACTTTCAAATCACATTCCTGTTTTATAAATCGCTTCAACTGTTTGATCCACTGTCCTGTCTACAAATATTGCAGCCCTTTTCTCCACTAACTAGTCTTCTGTGTATTCTAGTCCCTCCATTCTGTCAGAGCAGGAGGCCTCTCGAGCTTCTCAGCTCGATTTTGTAGAATCTTGCAGAGCACAAGAAGGCCATTTGGCCCATCGTGCCTGTGCAGGATCTTTTGAAAGAGATACTGCTTGGCCCCACTCTCCAATTTTGACTCCATTGCATTGCAGTTTGCTCCTTGTCAAGCCTTTATCCAATTTCCTTATGAACATTACAGTTGAACATCCTTATCCCATCCCCCTTCCTAAATTTACCAACCCTTGTTTCCTCTTATCGTGCCTCTAAAAATATATTCAGTAACTATTTGTAGAAATCCTGACCTTTTGAAAGCAAGCTGGAATGAAAACCTGACTGATGGGTGCTTCAAGTATATTCTTATTTTGTTTCAGATTTCCAGCAATATGTTGTATTTTGTTGAAAGTCTACCTATTTGTTTGTGCCTTGGCCAACTTTTTTCATTTCTGCTTTGCATCCATTTTTTCACTATGAAATGCTTAGGGGATTCCTTTTAATTTAACTTTAAATGATAATACAAATTGAGCTTTGTTTTTGGTGTGAAATGTGATGAGATCTAAGTATTTAACTTACTTCTTTTAAGTACTTAATGTCTGGCTGAAGTAAAGTCCTCTTGGCTTTCCAACAAGGAGGAAATTTGGCATGTCCATATCGACTCTTACAAATTTTTATAGATGCACCACAGAAAGCATTCAATCCCGATGCATCATGATGTGGTATGGCAACTGCTGTGCCCAGGCCTGTTTAAAACTACAGAGAGTTGTGAACACATCGCAGTCCATTGTGCAAGCCAACCTTCCATCCACTGACTCCATCTGTACTTCTCACTGCCTTGGGAAGGCGGCTAACATCATCAAAGATCTCTCCTTCCCCAGTTATAATCTCTTACAACCTCTTTTGTCAGGCAGAAGATACAAAAGTTTAAACACATATACCAACAGATTCAAGAATAACTTCTTCCCCCCTGTTTAGACTTCTGAATGGACCTCTCAAATTTTAAACTTAGTTGTGATTTTGCTCTTTGTGCACCTTCTCTGCAGCCGTAACATTGTATTTGTCGCTCTGTTCTATTATCCTAATGCACTTTGTGCCCTGCCTGCATGCAAAACAAAACTTTTCACTGTACGTAGGTACGTGTGACAATAATAAATCAAATCAAATCAAGGAGCTGCAAGATGTTATGTGAAAGGGATAGGATGAATGGGTCTCGATCTTTTAATTTCTTTCTGTTCTTAGTGTCATGTCCAACCAGGATCACTCTACAATGGTGCAGTTCAGCACAGGATAGCACCATGCAGGACACTGCACAAATCAACTTGTTTCCATCAACCCAGTGCCATTTTACTGCTATTGTGCTGTATTGAGTACTTCTGTAAACTTCCAACACAAAGCAATCAGACCATTGAAGATATATTTTTAAAAGGAGTAGTTTGTATTTTTGAGGATAGCTTCCCTGGAAGTGTTATTGCTGGTACTCACTAACAAATCTTTGTTGTGTTTTCACTATCACCACAGGTTTCAGCACCATGTAGAGTGGGCGAAAAGTCTCCTGCAAGAACAAGGCCTAGAAGATGCTTTCATTGAGAAAATTTTGGAAGATTATACAAAACCAATAGAATTATCATGTGATAGAAGAAGCAGTGAATCTGGTGATCATTCACCAGAAATAAATATCAACTCCCAAGTCTACACAGCTAAAGAAGAATCTGGTGAAGGAGCTGAAAATATGCATAATGGAGAAAATCATTCTGTCAAAAGCACTCAAAATATGGCACATTGTTTGGAAGGTGATGCACTTTACAATCCTTTAGCAAGACCTGCAGACTGTGAAACAACTGAGAGGGAAGCTGGAACAGAAGTACACTGTCCCAGACATAATGATCTCATTATTCACTGTGGCTGCCAGTATCCAGATGATATGAATGAAGTTCTGCAGTACAATTCAATTAAAGATAACAAAATGTCCGTAGAACATGAATATGTTCTAGTGGTGGAAAACATACTACCATTTAATGATAAAGAATTGAGTAAAAAAGTGAGTATAATGTTTACAGAACTGTGTATTAGAATGCTCATCATGTGGCTGAAGCAGATTCAAACACTGCTAAAGGCATCGTGTCTATCTGTTGAAGAATTCCAGTACAGTACAATTAATTCAAACTAATCTGTTAAGTAGAAGTGAGTTGTCAATGTGGCAGTAATTTAACAATGAAATATAGCCATTATGTTGCTGTTATGACCCAAAGATCAATTGAATACAGCTTATTTCATATGGGATGTCTCAAACTCAATACTAAAAGCACTAATGCAAAATCCATTTTGAATAATCCAGGTAATTAGTACTGTACCTGCAATATTCCAAATTCCAAGCCACCGGATGCATTCATCTTCTCAAAAATCTTAACTTACTTTAAAATTTTTGTAGGTTTCCATTTTTATTTATCTGCTGAATCTCAAGATCTCCATCATTCTAGCTAAGAAATAGCTTGGCTCTTGATTCCTCTCATTAACGCTGAACAATCTAAAGTTGCCATTGACTTTATAAACCATAGGCTGCTATGGAATCAGCCATAGGGCTGCTCTCTCATTCGAGAGAGACGATTGGTCGTGGCTTAACCTGAGGGTCAGGATGCCTCAAAGGAGGGGAGATGTTGAGAAAGAGAGTTCTTCATTGTAACCTCACACAGTGTGGGAATTAAACTGATGCTGTTGACATCATTCTGTGTCTTAAGCTAGCTGAGCAAACTGACCCCCAACTGAACAATCTATAATATGAAGCAAAATCAGAAATTGCTGGGGAAACTCAGCGGGTCTAGCAACAACTGTGGAGAAAAAGAAGAGTCACTGGTCTTGAAACATTAACTCTGCTTTCTCTTCACCGATGTTGTCAGACCTGCTCCAGCAATTTCTGTTTGTTTTTTATTTCAGATCTTTAGCATTCGCAATTCTTTGTTTTAATCTATAAAATGATCTCAGCTCAGCTCTCCCTTCACGATTGTGGCACTTAATTGTTTCCAGTTCAGTAAGTACAATACAGCTGTATTCACAGGTTGCCTGTTAAGAGCCTTGTTGTTCATTTTTTGTCAAAATTAAACAGCCTTGCCACCAAATTGGGTTCCTGATATAATCGGATAACATTTCAAGTGATTCAGGAATACAGCTTTCAGACTCAGTATCATAATGTGCTGTTAATTCCATCTTCTGTATTTGAACCTAATTGTAGTTCGTAGAAACGTCCTACTCGGTGAAGGCTATGTTAAAACTTAAATTCTGCTGCAGCCGTAAAGTGTACATTTGAAAAGGCAAGAGTAAACCATTGAATCCTTTGAATCTGTTCCCTTATTCATTTAAATGATAGAAGGCATGTACTGAGTGGTAGCAAATTCATTAGATGCTCAGGATTATCCACGCTCAGTAGTAGTTTGCATTAGATAAGCATAATAGAATAAAGGAACACTCCTGAATTTGTAGAATGATAACTCCATAGTTAAGACTTCTGATTGAGGGCTACAGTGTGACTAAAGGGGCTTGTTTAATAGTTTCACCATAAATTGCACTTTAGTGTGCAGATTGGTATTGAGACCCTGTGGAATGTTCTGTGATAGCAAATTGCCTTGGGACTATAACTACATCTAATTATATTGCATTTTATTTCATTATCTAGCACTGTAATTTCATATGAGCACATACAAAACAAAGTAACTACAAGTGCTTCATTGAAAAAAATGGTTTGCACTCACCTTATGAATTGTTTTACTTAGCCTGAAGTAACAGAGAGATTAGTCTGCAAGAGGAACCCATTCAAAGTTTTTGAATATCTTCAACTCAGCTTGGAAGAGGTATGAAAGAGTTAGAAAATAAAAAAGACATGTAAACTTTAGTTTTTAACTAGTTAGTAAAGGTAGTTACATTTTTAATTAAAGTTTGGTGACTATGTAACTTGAATACACACAAATACCTATTGCTCAATTCAAAATATGTAAGATATGTTACAGAATAATATTTAATTATTTAATTGTTTGGTTAATGCAGCTGTTTAATCTTGTTACAACATGAACAATTTTTATATGTGAATGTATTGAATGATGCTGCATCATGTTGTTATCAAACGGTTATAAACTATCATTCTTTATATTTTTACAGTAATTTTTAGTTTAATACTTGTTAATTCATGGTTCTTAATATGGTTAAAACGTTTTTTTAACCATTAACAGAAGTTTTATTTAATTTAAGTTACATTTGCAATGTTACTGTTCCTGTTCCTGATAGATTACTAAAGTTAGACAAGCTCATAGCGCATGTATGTAAATTAATACCCAACTCTGTACTGTTTCAGGCCTTTTTCCTTGTCTATGCTTTAGGATGTTTAACCATTTATCATAATGAGGTGAGTTTTGTTTTGTGTTTCCCACTACATAAAAAATGATAAAACTGTCAATGGTTCAGCAACTTTATCAACTGAGCCATTAAACCGTGCAAATCAAGAAAATTCCTGATTCAATTTGCAGTCAATATTGAATGAGCTGATCTCCACTGGAGAAGTAATAGGAAATGTACAATTGGTCTTCGCAGCCCTGCATTAAGATTAAGACTCTTCCTCTTCCAAAAGTGTGCTAACTTATCCATTCTCCGCTTACAAACTCAACCCTGGGTGAAAGCATGTTTTGTACCCTGACAATTACTATCTGATTTTTGAAGATGAAAATAATGGGTGCATTGATTGAAACACCAGCATTTTTAGAAGTGTATCATCTGGTTTAATCCCTACTAAAAATACAGAGGTTATGTTTGGTAATGTCTGGTATATGCTAATGGTAGAGATAACAAGGTGTAGAGCTGGATGAACACAGCAGGTCAAGCAGCATCAGAGGAGCAGGAAGGCTGACGTTTCGGGCATAGACCCTTCTTCAGAAATGGGGGAGGGGAAGGGGGTTCTGAAATAAACAGGGAGAGAGGGGGAGGCGGATAGAAGATGGATAAAGGAGAAGATAGGTGGAGAGGACACAGACAGGTCAAAGAGGCGGGGAAGGAGCTGGTAAAGGTGAGTGTAGGTGGGGAGTTAGGGAGGGGATAGGTCAGTCCAGGGAGGATGGATAGGATGAGGCTAGTAGGTAGGATATGGGGGAGATGCTTGAGGTGGGAAGAAGGACAGGTTAGGGAGGTGGGGACAAGTTGGGCTGGCTTTGGGATGCAGTTGGGGGAGGGAAGATTTTGACGCTTGTGAAGTCCACATTGGTACCATTGGGCTATAGGGTTCCCAAGCAAAATATGAGGTGCTGTTCCTTCAACCTTCGGGTGGCAGTCCCCTCCCCCATTTCTGAAGAAGGGTCTAGGCCCGAAACATCAGCTTTCCTGCTCCTCTGATGCTGTTTGGCCTGCTGTGTTCATCCAGCTCTACACCTTGTTATCTCAGATTCTCCAGCATCTGCAGTTCCTACTATCTCTATATGATAATGGTGTTCTTTTTTTATTTCATTTCAGGAACCTCTGACTATTCTCAAATTATGGGAAATATTTAGTCTGATTCAACCTGGGTTTAAAACTAATTACATGGGTTATCACTACTTCCGAAGTAAAGGCTGGGTGCCAAAAACTGGACTGAAGTATGGAACAGATCTTTGTAAGTATTTCCTAGGCTTATGTTTTTACACCACCTTGCTTTGCCATCAGAAAATTGCTCAGGCAAAAAAGCAGAAGCATCATAAGTTAACCAAGTTGAATGGATGGGCCCAAAATGTCCTAGTTTAATTCTGTTTTGTACCATGTTGGCTAATCTTAAATAGGGCAACAGTGAAAGTTTTTCAGCTAGGGAGGGTAAAAGATTACTATCAAGTAACTCCTACTGAAAATATAATTTTGGTGTTAGGTAAGGAATTTCATAAGGCTAGACTGTGTTTTAATTCTCTTTGTATCAAATACCTTCTGGATGTAACAATGCCACACAACAGATTCTTGTGCAAAGTTAAAGCTCATGGAACAAATGGCCTCAGCATCTTGAGTACAGAATTAGCTGAGTAACTGTAAATAGAGAGTGAAAGTTTATGGATGTTCTTCATGCTGGAGGAAAGTTTGCAGAGTAGCTCTCTGACCACCAGGGGTCAGTATTTAAACCTTGGCTTTTCCTGATGTATACTAATGTTTCAGACATTGATGTGTTGGCCACAGTTTAAAAGTTTACCAATGGTACAGAACTTGGAAACACTGTAAACTATGTGGAAGATGATGTAAAGTCTCCAAAAGGCTTAGTTGAGTGATAGTAGGAACTGCAGATGCTGGAGAATCTGAGATAACAAGGTGTAGAGCTGGATGAACACAGCAGACCAAGCAGCATCAGAGGAGCAGGAAGGCTGACGTTTTGGGCCTAGACCCTTC